TGCCATGTTCATCTTAACTGACCTTTCCAATTCTTTTTGTCTGTGATACAAAACATTTCTCTAATGAAATTGTGAGGGTTCAGTAAGTAGTCTTTTTTTTTTTTTAGAGATTTAGGTATATATGAGTTTTATGATTTTGTGTGTGTGTGCGTGTGTGTATGATACTTAGGTAGATTAATTCACATGTCATCAGTATATACATATCAGTAAACTTAATTTCCCGTTACTATGATACCAGTGAGTTAAAGCAATCATTGAATAGTATGTGTCTTTCCTTACTATAAATGATCTGGAAGAGATGAAAGGCAGAGGTCGCATTGCCAAATGCTTAGACAATTACACATGAAATTCATCAGAGTGGAGAGGATCAATTGGGAACAGATGTGTTGTGTGTTGTATTGTTTTGCTTTGTTGTTTTTCTTTTGCCTAACTGTAGGTGCTTTCAATATGCATTTCCTGATCATGTTTTTTATTTTTATTTTTTTAATTTTTTGTTTTGTTTTGTTTCTGTTTGTGCTAATCTGTTTGAGTCAGTGCATTCTTGACCCCAGCCTCATCTTTAGTGCCTGCACAGCTGTGTGACTTTTGCAACACTCAAGCCTGTTCTCTGCAGATGAACTTTATCTAGAGGTTCATAAAAATATATTGGTTGGTTGTAACTTGATGCATTTTCCCACCTATAAATTTGTATTTTGTGATCAATAAGAGTGCATGTTTTGTACCTGTCTCTCAATTTCTTACCAAAATTGTGTCAGGGCCCAAATTCCCAGCCAACATTTCACAGAGCGAGACTGTGCCTCCCTCCAAGGTTTTTGCATCCACACTGGGCTGGCTATTAGCATAAGACTCGGGATGGAGCTGAATTATCATCTCTTTTCTAACAGATTGATTTCCACTGGGTTTTATTTTCTGTTTGCTTGTTAATAGAAATGCCCATTGGCAGTGGCCCGAGATCAAAAGTATGACCTAACAGAATCTAAAAGTTCATGTTTAATTTTAAAATCAAACTCCCTTTAGATTCCTACTATTGCCAAAATTCATCTGAGAAGCAGGAAATGTCATTTTCCTACCACCTTCAAAAGCAGCCGAACAAAATTTAAATACATCTGGTTCTAACAAACAAGCTAAAAAGTGCACCACAATTGGGACAAGCTCGTGCCCAGATCCAATTTCTGTGACTGAGTTAGAAAGCCCTTGAAAAATGGGGCTCGTGGCACAGTCCCTGCTGGGGCATTATCTGAACGCTCTTTGGCAAGAAAGACTGAAGAAATAAGCAAGAGTGACATTTTCCCAAAACAAGTTAAATACCCCAATAGAGGCCGAGCAGAAAACACAGCTAAAGGCTCTCCCTGGCAACTGAAGTTGCACTGACAACTTCTTGTGTGTGACATCCCGGGCTGACAAATCACACGAGATAGTCTTTGGGCAGAATGAGAGATGTTATGGTTATTAATGCCCCCGTTCTTGGAGGCAAGTCTATGTGACTCTAATAATGTGGTTTTATTTCTTTCTTGATTTCAAATTTCCCCTGTAATCTGTAAACTGAGATTATTTGAAAGAGAGATCCACAGTGGTCATTCTTTTGTTTGTTTTAGTTAGTTAGTTAGTTAGTTTCCATTTTATTTTCTGAGGCAGGGTCTCACTGTGTAACCCTGGCCTGTCTAGAGCTCTCTATGTGAACTCAAAGTGTTTTACCTCTTTCTGCCCCTTGAGTGCTGGGATTAAAGGCGTGCTTGGCTTTGTTTATATTATGTGTATATTAATAAATATGTATATGCATATATATACATATATATATAGTACCCTGACATCACTGTATAACTACATCATTTCCTCTTTCCTTTTTCTCCATTCAAACCTTCCATATGACCCTTGGCTATCTTTTAAATTCATTCCTTTTTCCTTTTCCATTGGTGTTACACAATATGTGTGTATATATGTGTGTCTATGTATTTATGTATATGTGTGTATGTATATGTTTGCATATTTTTTCATAAATACAACCTGCTACTTCTGTGTATATGTGCATATGCATATGTTTTCAGGGTTGAACATTTGGCATTGGTTATCTACTAGTCATTCTTGTCCTTAGGAAAATGACTTGGTAATGGCTAAGGGGTGGGTTCTTCTTGTCAAAATGTACAGTATACAAGAATGGTTAACAGCAAAAGGAAGCTCTTCATTGGAAGGATATGCATGTCTTTTCTCAGAAATAATTTATACCCTATTTGCATATCAGTGGAATAGTATTTAGAGGTAGACTGTACACTTGACACTTCATATATTAAAATAAAGCTCTGATACAGTTCCAGTGCATAAGAAATGATTATGTTCAAAGCCAGCCTGGTCTACTGAGTTCCAGGACAGCCAGGGTTACAGAGAAAGCCTGTCTTGAAAAACAAACCAACAACAAAAAAGAGATGATTTGGGGGAGGGGGCTGGAGATGTAATTCATCTTTTAATAGCATGTACTCTCTTTCTTCAAACCCAGCTTCAGCTCCCAGTACCAATGTCTGATGCTGATTCCAGATCCAATGGGAATTCTACATATCTGACCTCCATGGATAGTCCCCGCACATGTACATAGATACACAATATTAAAAATAAAATAAGCTTTTAAAACTAATTTAAAAAACATTTAAATGAGCTAAACAAGAATAACACTAATAATCAAGGTGGTGGTGGCACACATCTTTAATCCCAGCATCCATGAGGCAGATACAAGCAGATCTCTGTGAGTTCGAGGACACCCTGGTCTACAGAACAGGTTCCCATACAGTCAAGGATACATACAAGGAAACTCTGTCTCAAAAAAAGTAAAATAATAGATAAATAAATAAAATAAAGCAAATGATACTAATAGACATGCCGAAGTGGGAAGTGGATGGGGTGGGGCTTAGACATACAGAAAGAAGTACAGGCAGCTAAGGAGTGCTGGGTTGGGAGCAATAGCCTTTCCCAGGGAAGAGCACACCAACTATTTATCCAATACCAAACAGAAAACCCTGAAAACATACATAGGGGTAATACGGGTAGCATTATACAGACTGAGATTCCCCCTAACCAGAATTTCTACAGCTGCCGTTACTGCCATGTTCATTGCATGTTTAGAAAGCAAGGGTTTCTTTGGCTTATACTTCCACATCACAGTCCATCATTAAAGGAAGTCAGGGTAGGAAGTCAAACAGGGCAGGAACCAGGAGGTAGAAGCTGATTCAGAGGCCATGGAGGAGTGCCACTTTCTGATTTGTTCCCCAGGGTTTGCTCAGCACCCAGGACTACCAGCCCAGGGATTTCCCCTCTTGCAATGGATTGGACCCTCCTCCATCAATCACTAAGTAAGAACATGTTTAAATTTTGGCTAATGGGAACCCGCTGCTGCTGAGGTAATAAGTCGATCAAACAGAATTAATAAATCAGGTTTATTCTGAGTAAAGCGTTCCTGGGTAGCCCTAGGAGAAATTGAGGAGACCTTGAGGGGAACTTATTAGGTCTGGGGCTTTTAATGTCTTAAGTGGTGTAGCCACCAATGGCAAGTTTCCTTGGGGATAGAATTCCAAATGAGGTAACTCCTGGGGAAGGGGGCTTGTGGTTGGGATGCTTGACTACACCATGGCACCCAATCCACAGTCCATCTGGCCCAACCCGTGCTGCAGAGAGCTACTAAGCTCACCGATACTGCTGCTTTTCTCTACTTTGATTTCTTTGATCCAACCCTATTTCCATTCATGCTTATTTCTTTCCCTCCTTCAGTGTAGAGTGACTTCTCTCTCGTCCAGGCTATTCTAGCTCCTGATACCTGCTCCACATTCTTTACATTCTTTTCCTTTTCCATGGTGCATGTCTCTGAGTAGTCATCACTAAAGTGTTGAAGGTTCGGGTACCTTCTTGGAACCAATATCATTTAGCAGATTTGTAAATACTTTGCATGGTCATTAGGTCTTTGTGAGAAAATGAACAGATCAGTTTCTCACTTGCTTGACATTGTATTAACTAAACTTGTTTATTAAATGACCTCCTGCACTGTCCAGAAAATTATGTATAAAGGCCTTGGTGATGCCTTGTTATTGAGATTTTATGCATGTATTTGGAATCAGTAAAGGGAAGCATTATTTTTCAGGATATTTGTTTTTACTGTTATTATATACTTATTTTCAGTGAGAGGATATTCCTCTTAGGTGTTGCATGAAAAACATCCTTAATATGAACAGTGTAAAACTGGTGTGTACTGTGAACAAACTCAACATATTCCTGTATTCAGAGCATACATCTGAAGCTTACAAGTACAGAAGCTACAGTGTATTTTGCGTGTCAGAATTCTTTATCTCCCCCTCCTTTAAAATTGCGTTTAGAAAGCAAGGGAGGTAAAAAGATGGATGGAGAAAAAAGGCGTAGTGGGGCTCTTGGCAATTCTACCAGGATGCCCCTCTCTATTCTCTTACAATAAACCCATGTGGAAATGTCATGAATGTCCTCAAAGAGAGTTAGTTCAGCAGAAGTAAAAGGATGACTGATAGTCATAGTGGTGGACCCAACCAGCCTAATGGTCTCGTTTACTTTTCCTGTAATTCCCAGTGCTGTCTTCTCGACCCTCCGACATGTCTGGCTAACTCTTCATTTCTCGTGCTCTGTCTCAGGTCCAACATTTCCTTCTTCTCTAATTTCCTATCTCTGAAACATATTTAAATGAGTACACAGAGATTTACATTTATAGAAGAAGAAAACATAAACACTATGAACATTCATCCACCACAGGAAATATTAAGAGGCTAGGAATAGAGAACAAAAGGAGTTTCTTATGAACAAAACTGTGAATTTGGAGAACATTTGAGTAACAAATAGAGCGGAGGAAAACAAACAATGATGGAATTATGGACAAAGATAACAACTTGGGGAACGACGTGAGTTGGGGAATGAGAGAAAAATGAAACTTTTCATCTTGGCTGTAACAGCTGTGTCCTTTCTCCGGAATTTAAAATAGAAGAGGAAGAATGTCTGCATGTATTCAGATCAAGAAACAAAGGCAGGTGAGATTTTGTAGAGCCGTTCCCTATTTAAAAGTTCAATTGGTGTGAGTCACTGGCACAGTCACAATGAGCCTTTGTACTTCCCGAATGGCTTTTGTTCAAAGATCTCGCAAGGCAAAGAGCTGCAAAGAATGCCTGTTCTCATTGTGGATGGAGGACAACTAAATCCGAAAAAACGGAGGCAGAATAGAGGTAGGCTTCTGAATACTTCATTATTTCATCTCTGTAACTTTTCTTTACATACTATTTAAATTCAAAGAATTGAAGTGCACAGTTCAATGAGCTTTGTTAAAATGATCTCATTCCTGTAGCCTCACCCTATCAAGATAGAGAATATTGTTCTCATTCCAGGAATTTCCTGCCTGGGGTCAAGCTAAACTCTTCTCAAGAGGCAATTGCTGCCTGGATTTTTTTTTTACTTTCATCATAAATTAATAAGAAAGGGTGTGGACTTGGGTGAGTGAGTAGCTGGGAAGCATCTAGCAGAGTTGTTAAAAGGGAAATTATAATCAGAATATATTATATGAAAATATTATATTTTCAATCAAAATAAATTAATGTTGTCTCCTTTGGAACTATATATAAAGATACTATATACAGTGGGTTGTCATCTTTATGGTGTTCTCATTTACTATTGTTTCTATCCCTATTTTAATGGAAAATTTAGGCCTTACATATTCCCTTTTCAACACACCTTCATAAGCATGAAACATGTTCAACTATGAACAATGAGAGTGAACTGAAATGTCCTAGTATGCATGGAATGTTCTTTGACTTTGTTGGGACCATATTCAAGACACCATGTTACATGGAGTCATGATATCTCCAGCCTGCTTAGTTTGCACCTGCTTGTAACTGTTTTCCTTCCTTTTGATGACCTTGCTAATTATGAAGATTACTACACAGATATCTTCACAGCATAAATCAATTGATATTCATAATTTTTGAGTTTCTCATGATTAGTCTAAAGCTGTAGAGTTAGAACATGCCAATAATAGTGCACTAAGCTGCTATAGTATCAAGGAGTGCAAGCTATCTGGTTTACTAATGTGTTGTGTTGACCCTCATTGCCTGTCTGATATAGTTGGCCTGTTCTCAGCTGTAAAGTTTTTCTTGTCTCATTTCAAACAAATAGCTTGAGATTCTTCTATTTTGGGTACAAGCTTTCCCTCCGTTTTTGATTGTAAAAGCAGGATTCCATCATGCAATTGCACAAAGGCATAAAGGTTTACTTATCCACTCAATAATCAGAGAACATTTCTGTTGTTTCTAGTGTCATCTTGTAACAAATCTTTAAATTGGCTATGTAATTCCTTCCTGTGTGATCTCTCTGCTGCTCCTTCCTGCCCCTTATGGCTTATTTACATTCCCACACTTTGTTTTCAGGTTTCTTTGTTCATTTTTACTAAAGTTGTCACAGGACTTTGAAATTTCTGACTGTTTCAATCAGATATATTTAAACACACACAAAGAAAGAAAAAGAGAGAGAGACAGAAACAGAAATATATTGTATACTGTGGAACATTTCTCTTTTTTAACTAGGTGGGTTTAGAACTATAGCTAGGTATTTTCTGTTAATGTATACTAAAGCAATTCATCTTGAATACTCACTTCCTTCAGAAGCCACACTACAGGGGTACAGTCCTTAGGTTGTTCAATGTAAATAAACATTTCATTTCTGTTGAAAGACTGCTTATATCTCAAATATGAGGTTAGCTATTTCTTCCTCATCCCATTCCTTTTGGCCTCCACTACAGTTATAAATAGAGGTACAATAAGGGCTAACTTTTCCTTTTCCAATTAGAAGAGAAATATATATTGAACATTAAGTATTTGAAATTCCTTGGTCAGGTTGTTGAGTTACTTTCTCTTCTTAGTTTGTTTACAAACTGCACTGCAAATGTATGGTAAACTTGACCACATAACATGTCTGCATATATTGGCATAGTGAAGTTCTTATAGTTATTTTTCTCACATTTTACTACATTTTTCAATGTTCTAGTTGTTAAATCAATTGGCATTCATATGGCAAAGTTAACTTAGTCATGCTGATTTTTCACCTATGTTCCTAAAGATTCTCTTGTTCATGAAATACATGCTGATATAGGCTCTATGTTTTTTTTTTTTTTTTTCTGGTAATGTAATTGGCTGGTGGTAGACACAAAAGCAGGCTGGTATTGGGCAAGTGGTGGTGGTGCATGTTTTTAATTTCAGCACTCAGAAGGCAAAGGCAGGCAGATCTCTGTGAATTTGACGTCAGCCTAGTCTACAAGTGCTAGTTCCTGGATAGGCTCCAAAGCTACAGAGAAACCTTGTCTCAAAAAGAAAGAAAGAATGGGTTGACATCAGATGCAGGGGTGACTATGTCCTCCTTTCCTGAAATAACTTGCTTGAAATAGCAATTCTTCTACACGTATATCTTAAAATTTAGCAAACAAGTCATAAAACACACTAATTTGTTTTTTTTTTGTAGTGTGTGTATGTGTCTGTGTGTGTGTGCATATCTTAAAATTCAGCAAACAAGTCATAAAACACTGATTTGTTTGTTTGTTTGTTTGTTTGGAGTGTGTGTGTTTCAATGAAATCTGCTATGTATTTTTTCTATGAATTAAGAAACATTCAAGTTTTCTATATTTTATTTGTGAATTTCAAATTTTTGATGCAACATTGTAGATATTTTGGCAGGAAATTGATGTCAGAGACACCACATCGAAAGAGGAAAATGTCCTTTTTTGACAGAAGTACAAGCTGAATGGCTCTCTTTCTAGGTATATTACCTCTCACAAAGAGACTATTTGTCTTTGGTGTTTCTATGCTAAACCTATATTGAATCATTCCTTTAATACTTCAATGTCACCAAAATTATGCTAATAAATAATATTTATGAAAGGGCTTATTAGACAAATACTGAGCTGTGTTTTAAGACAGAACCAAAGACTGTAATTGTCTTTGCTGACATTGGATAGCTATTTTGTTAAAGTTTGAAGCATACCTTATTGTTTTTAAAGACTTTGTTATTTTCAAAGCTACTTTTATATTTTCAAGTCTATGTCTAGGTACAAAAGAATATTTCTATAAGCCATAATTTTATAATTTCTTTTTATGGCAACTATTGAACCTATACTTAAGTTGAAAGGGTTGACAAGAGAATCATATCGGATGCTATGCTGTTTCTAACCAACTTCATAGAAACTGAAAGATCCCTGAAACTCAGCTATTTCTTAGAGCTGTGTATGCATATCACCTGATTACATACTACTATCAAGTGTTAACGTATATATACCACCCAGTTACATACTGCTATCAGGTGGCATGTATACATGCCACCCGGTTACATACTGCTATCAAGTATAATGTTTATATACCATCAGAATAAAACTGCTATCAAGTGTTATATATACATACCAGCAGGTAACACTGCTATCATGTGTTATGTATACATAACACCTGATTACATGCTGCTGTCAAGTATATTGTATACATACCAGCAGATTACATACTGCTATCAAGTGTTATGTATATGTGCCACTTGGTTACATACTGCTATCATGTGTTATGTGTGCATACCACCTGGTTATATACTTCTATCAAGTGTTATGTATTCTCTTTATAAAGAATGTCTTAGTTTCTTCCCACTAAGAAACAGAATTTGAACTGAGGATGCTGAGTCAAAGTGTTGCTTATCAGGTGACTTGGGGAGTAAGAAGATGGAAGGATGACTGGAGAATGGGGCAAGAGTGCTGTTTTGGTGCTGTAGCACAGAGGAAAGAGGACACAGGTCTCATATGCACAATGCATCACCCACCACCTCCCCATTATAAATGGGAGGATAGAGCTTTTGGATACACTATGGACAGAGCTATTCAAGAAATGCACCCTGACATTTTTATTTTCAATCAGTGCACAAACCATGTGGGTGCCAATACTACAGAGAGAACCCAAGTTGGAGTAGCTCTCCAGACCTAAATATTTAGAAAGCATGCAATTCTGGAGGTGTAGCTCAGCTAATAGAATGTTGCCCAGCATGTAGAAAGCCTGAATTCAATCCCCGATACTATAGACACAGGGCGTGGAGACACACTGTGCTTCAGAGGTAGAATGAGGAGGATTAGCAGTTCAAGGTCATCTGTGGCTACACATGGGATTAGAGGTCAACAAGGTCTGTGATACTCTGACACAAGAGCAGCAACAAAAAATGTCTAAACTCTCCCAATTACAGATGATATCAGAAATAAAATAAGAAATCTAATAAAGCAGCTAATGTTGAAATTAACAGGAAATTTTTACCCAAAATGTTGGGAAAGCATTTGCACAAATAAACACAGATATAGGTGTGTGTATGTATACATTTGTATGTGTGCATATGTATATATGCACACATATGTGTAGGGGTAAAGGCCATAATTAATGCTCCAATAAATTTAGGCTATCTCTATAACACCTGAGGTTAGAGTAACATAGTAAGGGTCCTTGGGTGGAGGCAAGAACTGTGGAGGCAGAACCTTCGAACCAGGAACACTGGGGAGAAGCATCAAGAGGCTGCACTTGTGAGATTCTGGCCAGATGTAGTGTGAATAATGAAATCAAATCAAAGTAAATAATACTGATAAAGTAAAAGACAATGGAATAGAATGAAAGACGGACAAGAAAAATAAAACTCATAGAGAAAATCCTAAAAAAAAAAAAAATACTTAGGATCAAATAGTTGACACTGTGATCATGAGGAGGTTTATATCTCAATAAATAATGAAATAAACTTTGGAATTTAGAAAAATAAGATTAGGAAAAAGAAGGAGAATTTAGAATGTTGGGCAGTGGAGGAGTCAGTTCTAGATAAAGCTGAGCAAGAAGGGTATTGTTAGTACCAGGCTTGTGTCCAAAGAAGCAGCATGGCATGTAGATAGCCATAGCCTTGGGGAAGCAGTCGGGCACACCGTGCCATTTTATTGTGTATTGAGTATAAGTGATTTTTATGTTTTCCTAACGTAAGTAAACTCTTTACAAGCTACTTAAAATACACAGTATATGACCTTTTTAAATGCTAAATTGTAATGTAGATTAGTTTAGTGGTAAGTAAATAATGGCATTTAAATTATAAATTAATTTCCTTTCTCTGCCCCCCCCCCTCTGTTTCTTTCTTTTTTTCATTACATGGATTCTCTGTGTAACAGTCCTAGCTGTCCTGGAACACT